ATATATTAATACTGAAATGCCTTAGTCAATCCTGTTGCTATCAGAGAATACCTGAGATTGAGAGATTTATAAAGAACAGAGATTTTTTTTTTTTTTTTTGTCCTACACTCCTGAAAGTTGAGAATCACAAGAGCATGACACTGAAATGGTATTGTCTTCTGGTAAAAGCTTCATTATGCAACAAAACACAGTAGAAAGCTGAAGGGAAAACACACATTTGGAAAAGACAAAACATGGAGGGCAGACTCAGATTCTGTAACACCCATACCTATATGACTGAGACCACTCTTTTAATGCAGGCATTCATCCCAGTTAATGACTTCATTACCTCTTAAAGATAGCACTTCTCCACACTGCTACCCTAGGAATCAACTCATAACAAGAGAATCAGAGGAGTAAAACCATATACAAGCCACCATATAGAATTATGAAGGATGTATGGAAAATTTCTCTACTATTTTCTTAATTTTTCTTTGAATCTAAACTATCTTTTACACAAGAAATCTAATGAAGCAGAGCAGGAGAGATAGTAGGATTAAAATAGAGACAGAGAAACGCGGAGAGATTCCTAATTAAAAGAAAAGACATCACTTAAATTCCAGCATAAATTTTAAAAGTGAAGCAAAATATGCCCCATATTCCTTTTAGCTTTGACCCAGTGTTATGTTTTTTGGTGGGATTTTTACTCCTAAACATGACAGCAATATAGAAACAATCTTAAATATTTCAACCAAAAATAGTTAATTCAGAGATGGCGGGAATCAATCAGTTTCAGTCAACTTGACTGTCAACACAGAAAGAAAAATTAGAAGATTAGAATTGGGACCTCTGCTTCCTCTATTAGAAAGTTGAATAATATTACACCCTTCATTATTTTTAATGGCAGTTTTGTGGTGATTTTATCTGGGCATGTATAAATGAAGGATTGCATAAAAGGAAGCCTTTTATTTTAGTTTCATTTCACTATAGATAGTGCCTTTACATTTTCATTGATGAATATATTTGAATTTTAATATTTCAAAAATTGTATTTCTATTGCTTCACAGTAAGGATATTTTTACACAACATTTACTTGATATGGAAAAAGCAAGAACAGTCAATTCAACTATTTACTAGCATTTTAAAAATTAAAATGACAGGGGGCTGCAAGCGTAATGTTATTGGGTTGGTAAATTTTAATAGATTATTGATCAAAAGTAACTGAAATAGTGCTAAGGATGAGGAAACTATTGTGTATAAAACTTTTGATAAAAAGAAAACATTAAATTTTCAGCAGTCCATTCATTTTCTAGTTATTCAAAGGACAAAGAAATCAGTGAGGTTTTCAGTAGACATAATTCAATAAGTAATCAATTGCTCTATTTTTGCTTTTTGAGAAAGAGACAGTCTTGCTATGAAGTTGAGACTGGCTTTGAACTCACTTTATCCTACGCTGATCTTGAATTCGCAACTATTATCCTGCCTCAACCTCCCAAATGCTAAGATTATATTCATGTATCACCACACCTAGCTACCACACCACACTATTTTTTTAAAAGAGAACTAGAAGATAAATAACTCTTGATCCTCCCCCTCTCCATTGTGTCCTCCAGTGCTTCTGTCCAAGTCTATCTTTTATTTTAGGCCTAATTTTCATCTCCTTAATTCACAATTATTTGCCTAAATGCTCAAGAGTTAGCTGAATTCTTGCAGCATACATAACTTATTATGATCATCCTGAAAATTGCTATGCATCATTAGATATTATGTTGTCTAGCAATACTTTAATTTTATAAACTATTTTACTTACATTTTCTGTTATTTGTACATTGCTGGCATATTGAATCTGTATCAATTTCTGCTTTGACCTAGCCTCCATTACCTACAGTATGCCAGTCAGATTTTTGACATTATAACCAACACTTAGAAAATCAATTTACAAAGAAAAAATTTTTATTTTGACTCACAGACTTAAGGGATTTCAGTCTGTGAATGATTGGCCCTATCCCTTGTATACCTGTCATGGAGGGAGCCAATCGTGGAGCAAACCTCTCTCTCAAGGTCAGTACACACAAAAGAGAAAGATGAGTGGACTGGATCCCCGCCATAGCTTTCAAAAACATACCCCAGTGATCCAAAGATCTCCCACTAGGCTCCACCTGCTAAAATTGTCTCCCCCTTGAGGAATGCCAAGCCAAAGATTATGCCTTTAATCTTTGGCATATGACAAACCCACATGACAGTGTTGGGTGATCTTCTAGGTCAACATTTGTAAGCAACAAACATATAGTAGGCATTAAAAGAATACTTTCAAATTTATTGGTAATACTTAATCCAGTGTACATATTGACCAATATATTTATAAACAGCAACGTTTTCAGACAGCTTCTACTAGTTTTATCAATTATGTTTAAAAATATATTGCTATTTCTTATTGGAATATTTTATTTGCAAATTATTGCTGCAAAAGTAAAAATATAATTCAATATTTTCTCACTGCTATTTTATAAAATATAGCTTTTTAAATGACATATTGCTTTTAAATAACACAAAATACATTACACTGAGTTTTTTGATGAACAACTTAAATATTAATAAAAAGCAATCATGCATTATATAGTAAAAAAATCCTCAATACATTTTAAAGATTCATCCCTATGTATCTCTGTATATTCTCTGGCCAATATGTAATGAAATTAGCAACCAGTGACAAAAAAACTGTTGTAGTGTAAATATTTATGCCTCTTCCAATTTCCTGTAAGAATTTTCTTTCCTTTTTTCTTTCTTTTTTAGTGATTCTGAAAAAAAGCAGAAAACACAGGAAAAATAAAGCATAGTCCTCATGAAGACAACAAAAATCTGACATATAGCTGATGCGATGCTCAGGAATTCCCAGTGCACAATATAAAAAAGAAAATATTAAGAGACACACAAAAGAATAAAGACTCTAACCCATGTTACCAGTATGGCATTTGCCAATTCAGATTAAATCGTTTTGGATAGATGTCACCACCTACAAACTTCCTTAAAAAACGGACACTCATTACAGAGCTTAGCACATTCATTTCTGGAAATAAAGTAGACAATCTCAAGGTAAGAAGAAACTAAACACTCTATTTCTTTACAACAAAAGAGGGGATAAAGCTTTTTGGAGTGATCACAGAAAACTCTTATCACCTTCATAGTTTTGAGCAGTTCAAATTGCCTCAATAGTTTTCAAAAAAACATTTAGCCCATACATTTCCTCCAGAAAGGAAGTTGACATTGAATGTCCACTTTATATACTTTGATACTGTGACTTGAGCAACTATCTCTAAGATGATAATGTGTAATCTATTAACTGGTGATTTCTTACTGTTTTTTTTTTTTTTTTTTTTTTTTTTTTTTTGTAGTTCTGTATGACTTGTACCTTACACCGTTTTGTTTTGTTTTGTTTTTTCTCTTTTTCCTTTTAAATAAAATTTTAAAAAAGAAAGGCAGTTGATTTATTTCTTCCCACTTCACATTGCTACTAATAGTCCAGAATTGTTTTAAGCCGAATTTATTGCCTGAAATTAAACATTGTTATACAGTGATGAAGAAAGGAAAGTAATATGTTGCAGAGACATTTGCATGCCAGTGTTCATTACTATTCACAATAGTTTAGACACAAAACTACCTCAATGTGTACTATTGATAAAGAAATGTAGGATACACACAAGAAGGAATAGTACTCACTCTTAAACATGAAAAGAATCCTGTCATTTGTAAAATATGGATAGAAATAGTGAAAAGAATGTTAAAAAATGAATCAGGCACAGAAAAAAAGGTGAATCACTTGCTCTCATTCATATGTAGACCCTACCAAAGTTGATCTCATAAAAGGTGAGAGTACAATGGTAGTTATGAAAGCCTTTATCTATTTTCTAAAAGCAAACAATGTTCTCTCAGAAATCCTAGGCCAATAATAATATCACAAAGAGTAGGATAAACACTTATTTACATTTGATATTCTTTTAAAGATTACACTGTTGAATTTTGTAGTGCTATCCAAATGATGCGAAGTAGAAACAGTCTGACCTAAAGCCTCTTTACTAACTTAAGGATCTCTCTGAATTTAAACATTTAGTGTTTGATCTGTTGTTCAAAGGAAATTATTTGCCCTATTTTAGTAGCTGATTTTCCTTTATTTGTTGTTTTTTGGAGAGGGTCTGCAATGAAATATTCACCACTTATTTTGCTCTGAAATTCAGTAAAGAAGAATTTTTAATGTGATTATAAATTGAAGAATAAAGTAAAAGCTCTCATAATACTCTTGATTGCATCCACCTATGTTTTCCAAGGAAAGTTATATTCTAAGAAATTATGAAAGAAACATCAAATACACAAGAATATTAAAGTTACAGAGGCCTTTACATTACTTTTTTTTATCACAACCCCCTGCCTGCCAGGTAGGTACTTACGGTGCTGAGCTAAATCGCCAGTTATATTACATTTTAAAATTACAATTTTCACAAAATATTTCATAACAAACTTGAAATGAATTTAAGAGCTATGTTGATAGAGACAGAGAGAGAGAAAGAAAGAAAGAAAGAAAGAAAGAAAGAAAGAAAGTTAAATATGATGATAACAGTGCACAAACATAAATTGTGTTCATATGAAATATTATTTTCCAGTAAGAATTTACTTAACTTTATTTGGCCTTATTCAATAGTAGGTAAAAGAGACTGAAAATGTTGGTGAATTTAAACACATTTGTTAGATTACAATTACTGGTCTACAGAGGTCCTGCAAATGCAAATAGTTATTTTACAAATTGCTGTTAGATTAGTCCAAATCTTTTCCATTTGGCTATGCTTCATAGAAACATCATGCTTTATTTTCTACTAACCAAAACCTAAATATTTCATGCTCAATAAAATAAAATATGACAGTGTTAAGATTGTTAATTTGTGTCTCATCAAACATTTCCAATACGCTTTTTCACTAATATTTAAGCAGTTTGATATTAAGAGGAAAGATGGAAGAAACAGAAACATCACCTAAGGGTCGTGAGGGTCTTGTCGCCTTTGAAATAGACTGGTGGAGACCAGGCCACCCTGTCCATTCATCTTTCTATCAATCTAGGAGCAGCGTGGCAGCAGTCATTTACACGCCGGGAAGAAATACAGTCCCCGAACAACTGCTTGTTCAGTGTGTTATTCATTTTTTCCCAATGTCAGGCGAAAGTGTTTTCATCCTCCAGTGTTTTCTCAGCCTTGGCAGAAAAATGGATAATGGATGATGATGTGGGTGACACAGTGTGTGGATTCTGAAACTGATGGAGAGAAGAAAGGATCTGATAAGAAAATCCCTTCTGAGGCTCCAGCATTATGAGAAATAACAAACAAATGCAAGTGGATTCCTTTGCAGCTTCTCTGTTACACACTGATTTCTTCCCTCAAGATCGTGACATCTTTTAGCTTTACTTAATATGATGATAACAGTGCACCGACATAAATTGTGTTCATATGAAACATTATCATTTTCCAGTAAGAATTTAAGGTAAATTCATGCATCTTTATATTACCAATTTCCTGTTGTATTAATTTGTTAGATCACTGCAACAAACTATCAATAGATACAACAATTGCTATTCCTATAGCATAAAAAAGTTGGGTAAAAAGCACTCCAAGCTTATATTCACTTACATTCTGGTATGTTGTTGCTTTGGGTTGCATTGCACATTGCTCTGTAGACGGGAACTCCAAAGCCTTCTGGGTGGTGAATTGTGTAAGACGAAGAGTCCTGGTTAAGTAATCAGAGGTGTGATGGTGTCTTACCAGCCAGCAAAGAGAGCAGAATACATTTAGTTGATGAGACTAGAAAAAATTTATTCATCTGCTATTTGTCTTTATTCTTCTCCTGTAACTCTTTCCCATCACCACTTTCGCTTGCATATTCTCAACTGCCTTGTGTTCTGTTCATTATTAACTCTGTAGTTTCCCCACAAATGTCTGATCTGAATAGTGGTATTTCTCGCTTCATATCATTGCTTCTCTTCTATATTTATTGATCTTTCTTAAAATTCTTGATTAAACACCTACGATGTAACTGACCCTGTGCAAAGAAGATAACAATTCATAATTATGTGAATATCTAAATATACTATGTGCTCTTTAGGGATACACATTAAAGTCACATTATCTGTCTTCCTTTAGTTTCTGATCATATCTGTCTTTTTCAGTTTTGCCTGTTTAAAGCTTGTTCAAATTTCAATTTTTTCATGTTTTATTTTAAAGAGATTAAGACAAAAGAGGACATAACAAAGCAGATCAGATCAGAACAACGCAAGCAACACAGCATTCTACCATAAGACAACCCATAATTAACAGTAACTACCATAATGTCTTTTTCTTTGAAATAGTTGAGCACAATTTCTTATATGATAGTTTCAAACATAACAGTATAAAACCATCCAAGAGAATGAAAGCATTACAGGGCTTTCAGAATCAAATAACAGAGAATGAACAATGGCTACTATATTATCTCATTTCCCTATGCTATCACACACAATAAAATCCAATAAGATATAACATGATAGAACCAAAGTAAACAGAACAAAAGCATAGTAGGACTTCACAGTAAGATGATATTAAATCAGCACTGGTTATTCTAATGTCTTGTTTTCTCCATAATATCCATTCATATAATCTAAGATAGTAAAATCAAACAAACCAGGATAAAACCATTCCAACTAATGAATGAAAACATTATAAGGCTTTAAAGCAATGTAATAGGGAATCATGATTATCATAAACTCTTACATACTCTTACCATTTCTTACACTAGGGAGACTATATGGTATTTAACATGTGAGTTTGATTTATTTCACTTATGAATATGGTCTCAAGTTGCATCTATTTATTTATAAATATATCAATGTGATCATTCTTTATAGCTGAGAAGTACTCCATTATATAAAAATATCACAGGTTTTTACCCATGCCTCAGTTGATGGACACTTAGGTTGTTTCCAAGATATGGCTATTACAAACTATGCTGTCATAAACATGGGTGCACATACATAACTATAGTATGATGTTTTCAGTTCTTTTGAGAATATGCCTACAAGTGGAATAGATGAGTCGATTAGGACTTCCAGTCCCAGCCTCCAGACTGATCTTCATAATGGCTGCACCAGTCTACACCGCCAACAACAGTGCAGGAGTGTTCCTTATTCCCATAGCCTCTCCAGCATTTGCTGTTGGTAGTTTTCTTGATCCTGGCCATTCTTTCTGCATTTGCATTTCTCTAATGACCAATGATGATGAACATTTTTTCATATATTTATTTGTAATTTGTATTTCATCACCTGAGAACTGTGTATTCATCCCAGATGCCCATTTTTGGATTGGGTCTTTGAATTTCGGGGGTCTAATTTTTTATAATTCTTTATATGTTTTAAACAGAACTCCTTTGTCTGAGGGACAGTTCATTAAGATTTTTTCCCACTTTGTTTTCTTTTCACTTTTGACGTGCAGAAACTTTTGACGTGCAGAAACTCTTTAATAAGATGTGATCCCAGTTATTGATTCTGGGAGGTATTTCCGGTGTGGTATGATTCCTGTTCATGAATTCTATGTTTTCCACATTTTTACCTAATTTTGTCTTCCAACAGATTTAGTGTTTCTGTTTTAATATTCATATAATTGATCCATTTAGATTTTATTTTAGTATACGGTGATAGGCACGGGTCTAGTTTAAGTTTTTGGCATGTGGAGAGACATTTTTTCCAGCACCATTTATTAAAGAGACTGTCATTCTTCCAGTGAACATGTCTGGCACCTTTATCAAAGATAAGGTGGTTGAATGGGTTGGTAGTTGTGGTTGTACCTTCTAATCTATTCCATTGATGTGCAGCTGTGTTTTTATTCCAGTGCCACGTTGATTTTATTATAGTTGCTTTGTAGTATAACTTCAAGTCAGGGATTGTGATGCCTCCTGCCTTGCCTTTGCTGCTTAGAATTATCTTTGCTATTCTAGGTCTCTTCTGGATCCAGATGAATTTTAGGAGTGATTTCTCTAGATCTATGAGGTACATTGATGGAATTATCATTGGGATTGCATTGAATCTGTACAACAGTTTTGGGGGAATGGCCATTTTTACAATATTTATTCTTCCTATCCATAAAAAAGGGATGTCTTTCCATTTTGTGAGATCCTCTTCAATTTCTGTTTCAGGGTATTATAATTTTTCATGTATAGCTCTTTTACTTTTTTGTGAGGTTAACTCCTAAGTATTACATTTTTTTGGATGCTAGTGTGAAGAATGTGGCTTCTTTTATTTCTCTCTCAGTGATTTTGTTGTTGGTGTATAGAAAGAAATGCTATTGATTTTTGAGCACTGATATTGTGTCCAGCTACATTGCTGAATTTATTTATTATATCTAGGAGTCTTTCAATGGAGTTTTGGAGGTCTTCTATTTATAACACCATGTCATCTGCAAATAATGATAATTTAAATTCCTATTTTCCTATCTTTACTCCTTTTATTTTTCTCTCTTGTCTTATTGCTCTAGCTAGTATTTCCAGAACTATGTTGAATAGGAGCAGTGACAAGGGACATCCTTGTCTTGTGCCTGATTTTAAGATAAAGGCCTTCAGTTTTTGGCCATTTAATATGATGCTGGATGTTGGTTTGTCTTAGATGGCCTTTATCATATTGAGATAAAGATCATCTATTCCCATTTTCTGTAAGGTTCTTAGCATGAATGAGTGCTGGACCTTACCAAAAGCTTTTTCTGCCTCTGTAGAAATGATCACACAATTCTTACCTTTGGCTTTATTGATATGATGGATTACATTTATTGATTTACATATGCTGAATGATCCCTGCATGCCTGGGATGAATCCCACTTGGTCATGGTGTATGATCTTCTTGATGATTTGCTGCATCCTGTTTGCCAATGTTTACTGAGGATTTTTGCATCTGTGTTCATTAGGGAGATTGGCCTGTAGTTCTCTTTTTTGGTTGGGTCCTTCTCAGGTTTTGGTACTAGAGTAATACTGGCTTCCAGGAATGACTTAGGAAGAATTGCATCCCTTTTGTTTTCACTGAAGAGTTTGAGGAATGCCGGCATTAAGTCTTTTTTGTATTTCTTTAGAATTCCGCAGTGAATCTGTCTGGGCCTGGACTCTTCTTTGTAGGTAGGGACTTAATTACATTTTCAATTTCATTAATAGAAATTGGGTTATTCAGCTGTTTTACATTTCTTGACCCAGCTTTGGTTCTTCATATGTTCCTAGGAGTATGTCCATTTCTTTTATGTTATTGAGCTTATTCAAATTTCAAGTTTAGGTTAGAATAACATTTCTCTCTTTCTTCTCAAATTATAACATCAGTTTGACAGTCACATAGGCTGTCATAGAAGGCTTCTTCGGCATGTAAAACAGGTTAGTTATGGTTGCTATTCGCTCTGGGTCAACCTTGTCTATAATGGTCTTGTCTTATTAAAAGCTGAGTTTCTATCACCTACTTCTATTGCTAGGTAATTCACATTTGATATATATTTTTATTGTAATTAAATTCAAGAAATATGAACTGAAAGTTAGTAAGGATCAAATTTTTTGAGAATAGTTTTACTTTCATATTTCAAACAGACTATTATGTACCTATAAGATAAAACTAAGATGTATAAGAATATACATTTAAAATCATGTCAAGATTCTCTAAAATAAAAATGGAAGACCCTCCTTCACTAATTTTTTACCATTAGATAAGTAATCAAGTTATAAAAACTTTTAAAGAGAAAATGATATAGAACTTCATTTTGATATATTTCTCATTTTTTTAAAATTTATGAAATCATTTTTTACTTTCAATGTTAATGGCTTCACCTAAGACACTATAATTCTTTAATTTACATTTGTATTTAACTGGTACATTAAATATAAAGTGATGAAGATCTTTTGGATACACTGTGATCCTTCAATAGAAGTATATACTGTAAAGTGATTAATTCAGGTCAAACATTTCTTTCTGCTAAAAATTTTCACGATATTTATTCTAATATTTTAAAATATATCACATATTTATTTATAGTCAGCCTCTTTTGGAATGCTTTTCTCCTAACTATAAGTTAGTACACATTGATCAACATGCAATACACCCCTCTAGGCCCTTGTCACCCACCCTCTTTCTTCTCAAATTATAACATCAGTTTGACAGTCACATAGGAATGATATCATGCAGTATTTGTCTCCTTGTGCATGGGTTGCTTTATTTGACATGGTGATCTTCAGTTTCATCCATATTACTAGGAATAACAGGACTTTACTTTTTCCATGGGTAACAATTGTTCCATTCTGTACATAAACCACATTTTAATCCACTCACCAAGTGATGGGTGCATTAGTTGTTTTCATTTCTTGACTATGAGAAGAGTCATAAACATTGACACTCAGGTGACACTGGGACATACCCATATCATTTAATTTGGCTACATGCAAAGTAATATGGTTCTGTATAATACTGCTACTTTTACTTTTTGAATAATCTGCATACTGTTTTTCATAATGACTCTACATAATCTATTTTTGGCCCAAGGTGTAAAAAGGTTCTCTTTTATCCACATCCTCACTGGCATTTGTTAAGTTTTATCTTTCCCATAATACCTATTCTTACTGAAGGATATATATCTGTGGTTTTGATTAGGATTTCTCTGTTTAGTGATGTTGAATCTTGGCAATCTGTGTGTTCTCTTTTGAGAAGTATTTATTTAGATCTATTGCCCATTTTTCAATTGGGCAGGAATTATTTAGATCTATTGCCCATTTTTCAATTGGGCTATTTATTTGTCATTGATTTTCTTGATGTCTTTGAAGGTTCGAGATATTAACCCTTTGTCAAGCATATAATTTATACACAGTTTCCCTCATTTTGTAGTTTATTTCTTTATTCTACTTTTTTAGTTTGAGTAATTCCATTTGTCAGTGTTTGCTTATGTTTCACTTGCTTTAGAGGCTTTGTAAAATAAGTCCTTGCTCAGTC